TTAATTAATTAATTAATAAACAATAGTATATGATGAAAGCTTTGGGCAAATAGCATTTCAACCCCTAAAAAAACCTCATTTTTGCACTTTCTACCCTAAAAATATAAAAAAGAGACAATCCCTCTTCGAATATACTCTTTGTTGCGCTTTGCCCAAAAGTGTATTTCATGTGAAACCCTAGCCTTATTTGAGTGATTTGGAAGGGTAATTTCGTCAATCTTCAGCATTAATACGTGTGCGAAGTCGGCGCACTTCTAGGTGTTGTTGGGCAGGGTCTTGAGCTCGAACTGTCCCCTTTGAGGTTCATCCTTATGTCTGACTTTCATATCTTCGTAGATCGGTGTGTACATTGTGTGTTAGGCTTTCTTCAATGAAGTGTATATGGTACAAATTGGAGGATATTCCACATAATTTAGAATATTCCACTAAATTTGACACCAAAATGATGGACATGTAAGAAGATTCATAGTTAAGGGGCAATTGTAATTACCCAAACATGGAGGGGTTTTTCGTAATTTGACCTTATATCAAGGGATGACCGTAATTTACCCAATCAAGAATTGTGTAATAACTAATCCGGAATATAATTAATTTATATCATGCAATTTCCATCCTCATAAATATTTAGTAGTTGTAGTATTTTCTAAGATGTGAGATACATACTATTTAACATTTTAAATATTAGCGTAACTCCCATGAAATAAAAGCTGTTATGGTAAGAAATTTATGACACTGTATTACTATTAATTTAAACAAATAATGTCAATTATTTGAATTTTTAACAGCAGTTTGATTCTGCAGTTTAAACATCATCGTACAAGAATTTTCACCATCTTATGATATAGTCAGAAAATCTCATAAAATACATAATATTACAGATACAGTGAAATGTATATATCTAGTAATTTTCCACATTTAATTTACATTTAATGAAAAAAGTATATTTAATCAATTTGAAATATTGCTAGACAGCCAATCAAGGCCTTCATATAGTCCTTGCCCAGAGGTTGCACAACTGCTCTGTATATACCTGCATCAATTCACCATACAAAAAGAAAGAAAAAAATAATAAAAAAAAATTATCAGGCTTTCTTTATTTTATTTTGTAAATTATTTTTTTCGATTTTGAATAAATTGGTAATTTCCGGAATGTTCATTGAATTAGGAAAGATCTTGCTTATTAGCGAATACGAGTAGCGTTGCGTCTCTTAATTCGTTCTATTAGAAGAAGTAAATTTAGGCCATGTCATAAAATAAAATTGTATTTATTTTGATATAGATAGATAGAATATTGTAATAAAATAATTTTTTTTACGTGATCGAGCATACGATGAAGCTCGTCTTTGGCTTCCGGAACTCTTTCACTGTCATTACTATCCACCATCAAATCAGTCCCTGTGTGTTCTGAAAGTCACGAGGCCTCCATAATCGAGGTATCTGTAAATTCAATCACTAATAATTATCGAAACGGACATTTTTTTTTGGTTTTCTTATGTATTAAATCTAGTACGGATCGAACTTTTTAATAATCTTGTCTTGTCCTCCTACATCACATACGGTGAAACTCACGTTCTTAAAATCTACCGTCTCCATGTTGAAACCTGGTAGTGTAACATATAAACATGCATCGAAATTTATATATACACACACAGTTTCTTGATTTAAATATTTCTGTTTTCGATATATTTGAATTTGAGGTTAAATATATATATATATATATATATATATATATATATATATATACATGCCAATAGTGGGTATCGTAGTAATAATTTCTCCGAGCTTCAACTTGTAATGAATAGTCGTTTTGCCAGCGGAATCGAGTCCAACCATTAAAATCTTAATTTCGCGCTTAGCAAAGAGCATTTTCACTACCCGGGAAATCGCCAAACCCATTGTTTCGATGAATAGGCACACCACAAAAATAAAAAAGCTTTGATGCAGATAAATGAACTATGTAAGAATGTTTTCGATAAATTAGATACATCTGTTACACTTGCATTATCCAAAGAAATAAGTGCTCAAGGATTAGGATTCTTATTCTTGATATGTATATCGATCCATTACATTGCTTCGGGATCGAGCTAATTAAATTTCATGTTACATTAGACAATTAATAAATACATATAAAAAAAATCGGAAAATTGTTTATAAAGTAGTGCATATGATGAAGCTATTTTCGGGAGATTGCATCCTTGGCGGATTGAAGGGTGGATTCGACCGAAGCAGCGGCATTAGACAAGATGCTGCCGCTGGTGTTAGAGGCGGCAGGGGCAGAATGTGGCTGATGAAGAACTTTCACCGGCTGCATCTGCTCGTGACCTTGCCCCGCTGATGAATAAATATCTACACTCTCCACCGTTTTTTCCGGTTGCCATTGGCCACTACGCGTGCTAGTTGCCTAAACCAAAAAAAAACAAAACAAAAAAAAAACACATCAATTTTCCAGAATTTATTACATTTTTGTACATTTTTTTACGATTTAAAATTGATTTTTTATTTATTTTAAATACGATTTTTTTGCACAAACATGTGAAATAAAATCAAGTAAATAAAAACACTTGTAATGTACCTTGTTTGCTGATGCACTCATATTTTGTGTTCTGGTAGGTTGATCTTCAAAGGTGACAGAGAGTCCTTTGATATGCTTAAACAATTAATCTTTATGTGATTCTTTATTTAACTAATATATATTCGCCTACTCGTTTATTTTTGGTTCCTCAGATTTTGGAGAAGACTCGGTCCTCACCTTTCAAATATCACATGTTTCCGATTTAATTCGTGGACATGCTTTTAAATAGCCATGGTTAAGATGTAAATTCATTTTCAGGAATTGTCCATTATAAATCGCAATTTTCGCGTGGGACTGTGTTTTAAGTCGTCATACACAAAATAACGAGTGAACCTTAATCAAATCCTCAAGGAAATTATATATTTGAACTAACAAATTCAAATCCTCAGCAGCAAGTAACAAAGCAAAGTAGATCAAAACCGTAATCTTTTCGACACACTTTTCGAATGTAGCTTAAATTTTCATTATTATAGTGCATTGACATGCGAGAAAACACGAAACATGACCAAATGGTGTTCACGGATGTAATTATACAGACCTAGTAAAGATACGAATGTTACACAATGGTGCTAGAAAACCATTCGGCAAAAAAAAGATACGATTTTATGCTCATATATATTCTAAACAGACAACAAAAAGAGAGGGCCAATAATCTATTGAACCCGAGCATCTTGCTACGTTTGGAAGGACAATTTTGAATTGTTTCAAATAATATGATCATATTAGGGAAATATTAAGGGAAGAAGAATAGGTGTAGTAACCATGCGAACTGATGTAAAGCAATACGACGATCAGTAAGTGACAAGAGGCGATCCACTGCAATGAACATCAGCGTTTTCAGACAACCTTTGCCTCGGAGACAATGTATTGCTTGCAGCAGCATCAACATCAACATTTACAATACTTTTCCTCTTTTGAGAATCAGTCTTCGACTTTTCCTCATTATCCTCCGATTCTACGCGTAATAGCTCCACTTGGTGCTGTGAAATCATTGTTTGAGCTTCTGCAATAACCGGCCCATCATCCTCTGAAGCGTACAAGATTTTTTTCACTGCTTCCATCACCTGCAATCGATATTAAAAAATATTCATCATACACATTCCGGAAGATTCTTGAAATTTCGTCGGGAAAAAAAAGGAGTAATGTGGAAAGCAGTACAGGTGATTTTTCGATATCAGGGATCTGGCACAAGATCTCGATATCCCTCAACTTGTTGAAGTAGAAGTCCCTTTCTTTCTCAAGATTATCAACTGATAGCTTCAATTCAGTGATCTGCAATACAGAAAAATATATAAGCAACTCTTAAAGCTACGTAACACAGTTTCTCAGAAGGAGGAATTTTTTTACCTGTTGTTCGAACTTTGCACGTTCTGCTTCAGGGTAGACAGAAGAAGAAGGCCCACTACTTGAAGAAGGCCTAGAAGAAACTTTAACAGATTGATTTGATGTGTTCGAATGAGTTACATCGGTTCTTCGGCTAGTATGAGTGGCGTGTTTGGGGACTGCTGCCGAAGTTTTAGTTGCAGGTTGCGATGCTGCAGTTCTCCTGCTCAGCTCTTTTCCACCTTTGCAAGCCTCTCTCCTTTCCAAAGGGTTGTAACTAGAATAGGGAATAAACACAATACGAAGATTCAGTCAAGACATTTTCACATTGCCATATGAAGTTACTGTAAAATGTGATTAAGTGGATTATAGACATCAAAATATTATTCTACAAAAAGTTCAAGTGTTACTTATCGAGCAGAGAGGCAATTAAGTTTGCAAACCTCAACTAGGAATTATTCATTTTGGGTCAATCTAATGCATCAGTAGATCATCAAAGATATAAAACACTAGCATGGTAAACTAGGTAGAGTAATCATCACAAGTGCAAACAATAATCCTGATCATATATTCCGATGTTAGAATTGTGTGACATTCCCAATTTCACAGTACGAAAGGCATGAATGGAGGATATGCACAAAAGGTCCAATGAATAAATTTGACATGATTCAGAAAATTCTCGTGACACAATAATTTCCGTAGAACATATAGCTTTTTGCGTCTCAATGCAAATCAAAACCCGTTATACCAAACTTGCATACAACACTATAAACCAAATAGAAATTGACATCCCATTCGCGGATAATGAAAATATATGAACAAAAGTTAACTGAGCGAAAGAGTGTACAGTCTGAACAAATCTTTCATTTACACTCAATCAACACACCAAATCAATAAATTTGCCAAGAGGAAAAATGTCAGAAAAATTGAGTCCCCCAGAAATTACTTGTTTATGTGTTCTCCATGAACAGAGTCGCAGTAATGCTTCATCCATTGCATAAATTCCAAATTATCCAACGCCCTCCCTTTAATCAATTTGTTAACCTCTATATGCTGCGCCGACACAAACACAAAAATCCAGGTGTCGGAAGATATAATCAGAACTCAGCAACAATAGCAAATAAAATTGAATTGTATGAAAGCATAATCAAACAGGGTCAATCGATTCCAGAATAACAGTTGTGTAAGTATAACTTTTTTTACAGGAAAACCTAAACAAAAAAAATCCAGATAAAAAAAAAATCGAAGCACAAATATTACCTTAGTGATCTTGAGTTTGTTGAAAACATCCTGAAGAACCTTGTAGTTCTGAATCATCTCGTACTCATTCTTCGCGTCGAAATTGACCTTGTGCATCGGAACCATCCCTGGATGAACGGCATCCATCAGCTGGCATTGAACGGCACCTGTGCAAGCCTGCAACAATTTTATTTTTTTTCAGACGGTGACAAACAGAATTAAACAACCCCGCATCGCGATTCGACGATTCAATTAACCAAATTACAAATCGGTGGGAACTTCAAACCGAGCGAATTAGGGATTTGAGATTTGAGATTTGAGATCGGTACCTCTTCGACTTTGGAAAGGTTGAGATGAAGAGTAGAATTGATCCAGGCGAGAATCTCCGATCTGCCGACGAAGTATGCCCCGTCCATCATTCCGATGTTGGTCGCCATCTCTGTAACTTTCTTCTTCCGATCTGAGTATCGATTTTAGTAGGGAAGGAGAAGAGTGTGTGTGGGGGCGTGTGTGGGAGAAAGGGGAGCCTGTTTTTGAAAACGTGGTGAGAGCGGGAATTATAGACGTTGTAATTCAAAAAGGTCGGGCTTTTTGGTGTTATTGGGCTGGGCTAAACCCCAAGAATGTACTGGCCCGAATCAATAATTGTTAGGCCCGTTAAGGAAGAAAACAATTCAATTAGTTCCTTCTCTTAGGAATTAGGAATGATTTTAAAAAATAAAAAATAATTTTGGATAAAATATTAGACTAAAAAGCTTCGATATTCTATAACATGACATAATACAAAAAATCAATTATTCCTTTTGATTAAATCAAAAGAAAAATAATTGTTGATAAAAAATATTAAATATGAAAAATGTGGTACAAGTGATTCTACGCGAACTCTACATATCTCAATTTTTTTTTTTTTTTTTGCATATTGATAATTTACATAATGGAACAATCATAACAACGTAAAAATTATACATTCGATATGTTGTCGTCTCGATCGATATGAAATTGTAGATTCTATTTTGTGATTGCACAAATAGTTTTGGGTTGGGGAAAAGGTAAGATTTGTGCAAGTGTAGGGTCTAAACTCTAAACAATCAAAACTCTCCAACACCTAATTTTTTAATAAATGTTTTTCTAGGTGCCAAAAAGTAATTAAAAAAGTACACGGGGGGCCCAGTTGAAAAATTAGCACAACACGACAGTCAGACAAAGCTAAGAACAATCCAGAACAACTACTAGAAGAACAACAACAACAAATCCTACGATGATTACAATAAACACTCTCTCTAAGAAAATTAAAAAAAAAAAAATTACATGTCAGTGAAAAATCATACATACACATCTCTCCAGATGAATCGGAGCTCCATTTTATCGAACCGTTATTCGTCCATGCGCATCACAACGAACCATAATAGTACGACGAAGAAAACGAGGAACACGGAAACCTCTCGAGCGCTTGAAGCGCCTCCTTCATCGACGGTCTCTTCTGCGGGACCGGACAAATACAGCCGTACCCTAATCTCAACAATGCCAGCAAGGCGTCTTCCTTCCCTTCCATCTCGCCACGTATCGCCGCGTCGGCCATCCTCACTACTTTTCCCCTGTCCTCGTCGGACGCTGACATGGCGCCCCCGACGACCAATGCAGGCCCCGTTTCGTCCGACACGATCACCTTCCCGGTAAGCAATTCCAAAAGGACGACGCCGAACGAGAACACGTCGAGTTTCGGATTGGGCTTGAGGCTCCGAAGGGATTCGGGCGCGTAGTAAGGGGAAAGGCCGATCACGCTAGGGCTGGGGCTCGGGGTGGCACCACCGCCGCTCGAGGCGGCGTAGTCTTGGAAGCTGTCTCGGGAGGCGGTGGAGCGTTTGCTGCCGAAGTTGTTACGGGCGGAGCCGCCCGCGGTTTTGGAGCTGTTGTCGCCGGCGACGAGGCGTTGGAGGCCGAAGTCGCCGATTTTGGGCTCCATTT